TTTTCTTAATTGTTGGCCATCCATCTCCCTGGCTTATTTGCCTGCTCGAAATAATTTTGTTTTATATATTTCAAAGAATTAATGGTCTTATCCTGTTCAAGTAGATTTAGTTTGTGTTTGGCTGTTATCCAGTTAGTTCTTATTTTATCGTCTCCTGGGTGGGTACTTAATTTATCTTCCCAATTTTTAATTTCATCTTGTATGTTATTATACTCTCTTTCCTTTTCTTTTTTCCTTTTACTATTATAAGCAATAGTTATACCCCTAATATAGGCCTTTGTGGTGTCCCATAGATTCTGTAGGGATGTCTGATCTTTATTGTTATCTTTGAAAAACCATTTGAGTTCCTTTTCTAATTTACCAATATATTCCTTCTCTTTGATTGTCTGCACATTCATCATCCATCTGCCTTTTTTTGGTGTTTGCCCTTTCCATTCTATTGATACAGGCAAAATCTTAAATCCTCAGGCTAGTAAGAAAGAATGGAAGGATGGCTAGGTAAGCAGGGAAGCAGCTACAGGTGGGTACAAAAAGTCCTTAGCCATTCTACAAATCTGCAGGGAAAGACTTCTCTTTTCAGGTCCTTGGTGCTCTGTGAACTTGACTGCTTCTTTGCAGACATTTAGTTCCCTGACTAGGTAACATTATCAGTGCTAGAAGCATGGGTGGGATTCAAAAATTTTAGCAACCGGTTCTCTGCCCGGTTACTGGATGGGTGTGGCCTACTCGGCCTCCTGCACCATGGCATAAGGTGTGTTTTTGCCCTCCCCAGGCTCTGGAGGCTTTCCTCAAGCCTCCAGGAGGCTGAAAATGGGCTCCCCTGGGCTCTGGAGGCCCTCTGGAAGCCAGAAACAGACCCATTTCCAGACTTGTGGAACTTTTTGCCCTCCCAGAGCCTCTGGGCAGACCATGCACTTACCTGGCATCCAAAATGGGCCATGTGGAGACTCCTGGGAGGGGAGGGGCAGGGCAGGGTGGGTGGGGCCAACCAGTCCTTGCAACTACCGGTTCGGTGAACCAGGTGTAAAATTACCATCCGGTTCACTCGAACTGGTCTGAACTGGCTGAATCCCATCCCTGGCTAGAAGGGAGTAGGATTTGATCTTTGTTTATATAAAAAAGCTTGTCCTATCATTGTTGGTGGAAATGTTGTTTTTCCCTTGGTCATCCCTTGATTAGACTGCTATTTACTATTTGATTTTTTTTCCTGAGTTTGTAGTTCCTGGATTAGGGTGTTTTCGAAAGATTCACTACAGAGCATGCCAAAAACAAATGTTTACAATATGGTTTCAAAGAGGGCCTAAATGCTTATAGATACTGCAGGTCAGTAGACACAAAAAAGAACAAAGTGAGAAAGCAGTGCCTTTTCTATTTTGTTGTTGTTCACTTGCTTTTGTTTCCTTTTTCCTTTTCTACATGCATAAACAATATAGTTAAAATAAATAAAGTACCAAGCTTAAGGTAAAATTGTTATTATTTAATAACTTTTTGATTATTTCGCTGTTCTCTCTTAATGCCACTTTTAGCTGTAGATGTAAAATTTAAAGAACCTTATGCTTATCAGCAAAATCAGCATGTCGTTCATAATCAGTACTCAAGTAAACTTTTTTCTTTGTCTTTAAAGGTCTAAGTTATTTAAATGACATAATGTTAATAATCTTTTGTCTGTACTGTATAAAAACCACTGTAACCAATTAATATATGGGCACACCACAAACCCAAACATTGTGGGTTTGATATCAGACCAGAACAATAAAGCAAGTATTACAATAAAGTTGAGTTGCACTTTTTTTCCCCCAGTGCATGTAAGAAAGTTTTAGGAATTAGCTTTAAGCTAAAATGATAAAAGTGTCTGCTCTCTTGTTCACTAACATATAGCATCTAGCTTATGATGCTGGAAAATATTTGGCTGGTCTCTTTGTTTGCCCCATAATACAAACAACTATGCAGACAGAGTAATGCTGAAAATGCAAAAGCTCAACATGCTGCCCCTTCATTGAAGATGCTCAACTTTGTCTCGAAGCCCAATGGATCTTAATATCTCCAAGTTGCAAGATAAATCTCAGTCTCAAGAGGAAAATCCCCCAAAGCAAAAATCCAGTTCCCAGTTTATGTAATGTTCTTCTGTTCACTACACCCCCTGTTGGTGACTACCTGTATCTTCCATCACTCAGTGGGAGCCACCTATTGGAAAGAGAGTGAAGTTCCATGTTGGAATAAATCAACAGAATTTTCACATTGGTGTCAGCACTGTGCCTGCCCCGGATATTTGAACTATTTTGGAACACTTCTTATCAGCAATTCCCTTGTCCTCCCCTCTCCCCCACCCCACATCTCTTGTAACTGCCTGCAGTGCAATGTCATAATTGTATACCAGCTCAGCCAAAGAGACTCATTTGCAAGTGGTGGGCAGGCCAAAATTGAGAACAGCTGCAATCGTATTTAACTTGCTTTGATTTTTTTTTATCAATCATCAAGGAACCTCCCTTCTGTCATCCAGAAGGATGGAAACCATCAAGTCTGGATCTAAAGATGACTCAAAGAATGGTTGGGCTTCAGGACCCCTTTTATCCCACAAAGCCCTTGCTTTGCTGATTCACAAGACTGGCAGTTACTCTTAATTGTTTACTTTCAACTCTGGGATTGATGAGATTTATAGACAAATTCCTCCTGGCCTCAGACCTAAATCCTTTTGTCTGCGTCAGGTGAGATTCCCCCCCCCATTTGTTTCCTTTGTAAGTCTGGAAAATGTGGTGGCCACTTTACCAATACGTTTATTCAGCTCAGTATCTAAAGAGAGAGTATCAGAGATAGTTGAGCCGAGGTACACAAAGTCATGGACGACCTCCAGTTCTTGTGCAGAGATAGGTAGGTGAATCCACGTCCTGATCCATGACTTGTGTTTTTTTCAGGCTGATTGTTAGTCCAAAGTCTTGGCAGGCCTTGCTAAAACTGGTATGAGAGTATGGCTCAATAAGAAACTGACGGAACATACAAAGATCCAGGTCTATAGAGCCTGCGTCCTGAGCACACTCTTGTACTGCAGTGAGTCTTGGACCCTCTACGCACGGCAGGAGAGAAAGTTGAACACCTTTCATACGTCCTGTCGCCGACGAATTCTTGGCATCACCTGGCAGGACAAAGTTCCAAATAGCGCAGTCTTGGAACGTGCTGGAATTTCTAGCATGTACACACTATTGAAACAGCGACGTCTACGCTGGCTGGGGCATGTCGTGAGAATGGCTGATGGTCGGATTCCGAAAGATCTCCTGTACGGAGAATTAGTGCAGAGAAAGCACCTCAATGGGAGACCACAGCTACGATATAAGGATATCTGCAAGAGGGACCTAAAGGCCCTGGGAATGGACATTAACAACTTTTTATTTATTTATTTATTTATATTTATATGCCGCCCTTCTCCAGAGACTCAGGGCGGCTTACAATGCGTTAAGCAATAGCCTTCATACTTTTGTATATTTTATACAAAGTCAGTTTATTGCCCCCATAATCTGGGTCCTCATTTAACCTACCTTAGAAAGGATGGAAGGCTGAGTCAACCTTGAGCCTGGTGAGAATTGAACCCGCAGTAATTGCAGGCAGCTGGATGTTAAATGCTGCCTTAGTAGGAGGCATTAGCCTCCTACACCACTCAGGCTCCTGGGAAACCTTGACCTCCAATCGTTCAGCTTGGAGGCTAAAGATGCAGCATGGCCTCCAATTCGAAGAGACACTTGTTTGGCAGGCTGAGGCAAAGAGGCAGTCCCAGAAACAGCGAAATCTGGGAGCTGGGCAGGGACAGAATGTATCTGCCCTCAGTGTGGAAGGGATGGCCACTCTCGAATTGGCCTTTTTAGTCACACTAGATGCTGGTTTAGGACCTCTTTCCAGAGCACGATACCACAGTCTCTTGAGACTGAAGGATGCCAATGAATGATTTATTTATTTTATTTTATTTATTTTATTTTATTAAATTTCTATACCACCCTTCTCCCGCAGGACTCAGGGCAGTGAACAGCCACAAGATAAAACAACATAAATACAAAAATTTAAAATGAATTAAAAACGAATTAAATAATTTGGCTAAATTAAGATACCCCATAATTTAAAACAAATTTAAAATTTACATTTAAAAATTTTCATTTAAAAAGGGGAGAAGATTTAGGCCAGGCCAGCTTGATGGAATAGGAAAGTCTTAAGTGCGCGACGGAAGGTGCGTAGATCTGGGATCCTCCGTATCTCTGGGGGGAGCTCGTTCCAGATCGTAGGTGCCCCCACAGAGAAGGCTCTCCCCCTAGGGGCTGCCAGTCAACATTGTTTGGCCGACGGCACCCAGAGGATCCCCTGTCTATGGGAGCGTACTGGCCGGTGGGAGGCTATTGGTGGTAGCAGGCGGTCCGGTAGATAACCAGGTCCTAAGCCATGGAGCGCTTTTGTTTCCTTAATGTCTATAGAGATTCTCAGTCATCTAGGTCATGGTTGTTGCAGAGGTATTTTTTCAAGAGGCCACTGGACTTTCCTTAAGGACTTGATTCCTTTTTCTCATGTGTCATACATGAGAAATGTATGGTGTCATACATTGTAATACAAATAAAATTATCAAAGTTAATAATAATTATTACATTCAATCAACTTATATATTTCTAGTAAATAATACACATTTGTCTTAGATTGCAATCTATCATTGTTCATTTATTACATGTTTTCTCTTGTTATTGCTTTCATTATATACAAATGTATACGTTGATATTCCCCCTTCTTTTATTTCTATCACCTATTCTAGCTTTTAATCACATCACCCTTTATTAAAAGACTTTTCCTTTCTTTCCTTTCTAACTTCTAATCATGTCACCTACCTAAAAAAAAAAAAGAGAGAGAGAAAAGAAAAATATTTCCTTTTTATATTCTTTGGCGTTAGCTACTTTGTTCAATAAATGTGTTTCTTATTGAACGCACATATTATTTATGGTTTTCAAACATGAATGTACAGCGATAGTAACGCTTCACAAAAATTCTCCCTTTGTAGTTTGCTGCCCTTCTGAGCTGCCCTGCTCATCCTTGAAGACTCTTTGCAGAGCAATCTTGTAAGATGCTCTGTGCTGATCCTTTCCTCTCTTCTTCCTCCCCACTAAGAAATAAAGGAGTGGGTTGATGCTGCTGTTGAGAGTGGCACATCCTATCCCAATGGTCAAGAGGACAGGATGATGGAAACCAAAATAATAAACGACATATAAAACATTCATTGGGAGAGAAAAAAGGAAGAAGAAGAGGAGAGCCAGCAAGATGGTGGTGAGAAGTTTCCTTTGATTGAGTTGTGATTTAGACCTGATATGAATCCAGAGGGTCACAGTGGACAAAACCATGAGAGGCGTACAAAGTAAACCATTCATAATCAGCTGGTAAAGCAAAGGTGAACTTCCAAAGCTCTTGGCTTGATACAGAATATAGTGCAGCGCAGAAAGCAGGAAGGAGAGGATCCAGATGAAGCTACAAACAAGGGTGGACAGATTTGGGGGACGATGGCAGCGATGCCAGAGAGGGAAAAGGACAGCTATGCATCGGTCCAGGCTGATGGCCGTCAGCAGAAACTGGCTAGCAGAATAAGTGAAGGAAAAGAGCTCAAAAAACAAGAAGAAAAAGGTTTGGACAATGTCATTTGTTTTACCCAGAGTTAACACTGTCACAAATATAGCTGCAGAAATGAGGGATGTGAGGACCCCAAAATCAGCGATGGAGAGGTTCAGGATGAAAGTGGTGAAAGGATTCCTCTTAATGGAAAAGGCCAGGAGATAAATTGTCCTTCCATTACCTACAAGGCCTAAAATGCAAATAAGGGCAATGAAGCCATTGAGAAGATTTCGTGTTAAATTTTCAAACAGTTGATCATCTGGAGAAGATGTTTCTGGTATGTTAGAAGTATTCATATTTTCGATAATACGGAAAGAAATGTTGCCCTCCGGAATACTTTTGTGATGGATGCTTTAAAAAAAGAAAAAAGTATCAGTCCTCACATACAAACACCCACCTATACACACATGCACATACTTTTATTTTTCACTTACACATATCAACACATATGTGGGATTTTTTTCACCATCTGATGGAAATTACAGCCCTAAAATCAATGCTTTTTATGAGGCTGAAGAATTGCTGTACTCAAGCTTTTCACCCCAAAATCTTCAAGATGCATTTCAGTAAAATCCCCACCAATCCTCATAATTAGACATTCTGGCTGAGGGCAGACTAGGATTATCGGGTATCTGAACAAGCAAAGGACAACCCAAAAAAACAGGAAAGGAAAACTAATGCAGGGGGAGGACACGCTATCTACGGTATTTTACAGTAGAAGATGCACTTCCCCCCCACCTAACAGAGGGTGAAAATTTGGGTGTGTCTTATACACTGAATGTAGCCCTGCCCACCTGCTGGCCCCCACCCTTTGGCCTCTGCCTCCCAGCAATTTACTTCCTTGCAGCAAGCAGCAAGCAGCAAACAGCCCGTTTCAGCAGCAGCAGTGCCTGATTAGCACAAGCAGTTGATTGTCGGTTGGATCAGCCTCCTGACCTTCAACTGTTTCAGGCTTCAGGGATTGCCATTGCCTATTGCCGCGCGGGCCTCTGCTGTTTGCTGCAAGGAGGCAAATTGCTGGGAGGCAGATTTTTTTTCTTGTGCTAATCAGTCTCGGCTAAAAATGAAAATGAAACTAAAGCAGGCTGTTTGCTGTTTGCTGCAAGGAGGCAGAGGCAGATTTTTTTCTTCTTTTCCTCCCCAAATAAGGTAGGTGTGTCTAATAATCCGGAACATCTTATTCTCCAAAAAATACGGTAATATTGGCATTTACATTCTTTGGAGAGGATTCATACCAAGTATGAATACAGGCACACAATTGCAAATATATATTGAAAGGAATGTTCTAACACTATCAATTAGTCTTCAGTGTATAACTGAGAAACGTCTTGTCAGTATCAAACTTTAATGAATGCTAATTGCATTTTATGGTTGTGAGAATTGGACCATAAGGAAGGCTGAGTGATGAAGAATCGGTGCTTTAAATTGTGGTGCTGGAGAAGACTCTTGAGAGTCCCTTGAACTGTAAGGAGATCCAGTCAGTCAATCCTAAAGAGCCTTGGTAGTACAGTGGTCTAAAGCACCCTGTTATTAAGAATAGCTGCCTGCAATTACTGCAGGTTCGAATCTCGCCAGGCTCAAGGTTGACTCAGCCTTCCATCCTTTCTAAGGTAGGTGAAATGAGGACCCAGTTTGTGGGGGCAATAAGCTGACTTTGTATAAATATACAAAAGAATGAAGGCTATTGCTTAACACATTGTAAGCTGCCCTGAATCTCCGGAGAAGGGCGGCATATAAATCAAATTAAAAAAAAAAAAAAGGAAAGCAGCCGTTCTTTGGAAGGACAGATACAGAGGCTGAAGCTGAAGTACTTTGGCCACCAAATCAGAATAAAGGACTCATTGGAAAAGACTCTGATGTTGGGAAAGAATGAAGCCAAAAGGAGAAGGAAACAACAGGATGAGATGGTTAAGCTCATCCATACCATGAATATGAATTTGGGCAAACTTTGGGAAACATTGGAGGACAGAGGGGGCCTGGCATGCTATGGTCCATGAGGTCATGAAGAGTCGGATACAACTTAGTGATTGAACAACAAATGCCCCAATGAAAAACTACTTACATAAACAAAAGTCAAGAAACTTCTAAGGTTATGCGTGTGAGAGTGAGAAAATGAGGGGGAAAGTCAGATATGTCCTCCCTTTGCCAGATGCCTAGTAACCTGAGGTTAGAGAATGTTACAATCAAAAGTTCTGGAGAACATCAGGTTGAACATAATATTTTTCCCATATCAAGGAAAAAGAACTTGTGGGCCTATAGGTAGACCAAGGGTGAAATCCAGCAGGTTCTGACAGGTTCTGGAGAACTGGTAGCAGAAATTTTGAGTAGTTCGGAGAACAGGCAAATACCACCTCTGGCTGGGTGGGAATGGAGATTTTTTTTTTTAATTTGATTTATATGCCGCCCTTCTCCGGAGACTCAGGGTGGCTTACAATGCATTAAGCAATTTTGCAGTATCCTTCCCCTGCCATGCCCACCAAGCCACGCCCACCAAGACCACCAAGCCACGCCCACAGAACTGGTACTAAAAAAAAATAGATTTTATCACTGAGGTATTGTTGTGGCCCATACGCAGCCTGTGCTTCTGGTGGCTGATTTGGACAGCGAGGAGGCTGGTGTGGTGCTGCGCCAGCAGCATGTCCAGCTGGCACTTGAGTCGGACAATGAGGCTGGAGAAGATGTGGTGCCAGAGATGGGGATTCAGCCAGGGCCATCAAAACTTCCAGTAGCTCCCTTAAGTAAAGAGGACGAAGAGGAGGAACCTCTTCTCGATGCACATGCACACAGAGCTGCCAAAAGGCAGGAGTGGCTCCTCAGGAGGAGGTCTCCTCGAGAGTAAGGCTTGGGGCTAATTGGCCACTCCCTTAGCTTATTTAAGGAGGACCACCGACTGAAGCAATTTGCAAGGAACAACCATTCACTCTCCTTCGTGCCTTGATCTTAGTTCTCTGCAAATTGCTTCTGGGCTTTCTGCCAACCATAGTAAGATTAAGATTATTTATTCTTTGGATTCTTGCAGGCTGTTAAGAAAGTTAATTAACAGCCTTTGTTTGAAAAAAAAACTGATTTTATTTTAGTAAACTAAGGTTTGTACAGACTTTGTGTGTGCTGCGTTCTTTGGGGTCTGTAGCTGGGGCAGAACAGGTAGACCATGTATATGACAGTTGTCATGTGGTCAAGAACAATGCCATACGAAGACCACCAAAGTTCAGATATTCGTCTGATTACATGGAGTGTACCACAGGAGAGCTAAAAGGAGTGATGATGCAATTCTACTTCACAATTTCGCCAACCTCCACTTCTATGGGAAATGTATCTGCAAACAGTAGATTTCTGAGTTTTTTTTTTTTTTTTTTTTTTGATTTATATACCGCCCTTCTCTGGAGACTCAGGGCGGCTTACAGTACGTTAAGTAATAGCCTTCATCCTTTTGTATATTTTATACAAAGTCAGCTTATTGCCCCCACAAACTGGGTCCTCAATTTACCTACCTTAGAAAGGATGGAAGGCTGAGTCAACCTTGAGCCTCTGCAAGATTCGAACTTACTTTAATTGCAGACAGCTGGTGTTAAATTACAGTGCCTTGTCTGCAGAGCTATCCAGGCTCTTGGAAACAAGTATGGTTCTAAGTGTGATCCAGAAATTTGAGGTTGAGGGCTACCTGAGGCCTTCCTATACATCAGGTGTGTCAAACTCGATTTCATTGAGGGCCACATCAGGGTTGTGTTTGACCTCAGGAGCCAGGGTGGGCGTGGCCAGCTTGGCATCACTCATGTTGGGGGCGCCTGTGGCCCGAGCACTCTGCCGGAGAAAATGGGCTCCTAAGCTCCGTTTTCGGCTGGGGTGGCCTCCTGCAACCCTCAGCCAGCAAAAATGAAGCTCAGGAGGGCCGCGTTTTCACTGGCAAAGGCACCATGGGTCGGTCTTTCACTATTTCTAGGGCAGCTGCACGGGCCAGATCCAGCCCGCGAGCTTTGAGTTTGACACACCTACTATACATCCTTGAGTAGGACAGCAGAGAAAGTATTAGACTTCAGGGTTTTGTTGTTACTTTGTAATCCATCTTTCTTTTTTTTTTCCTGGGATTATAATGGACTGAAATGAATTTCACGTCTTCCACTTTCTGCTCAGTTTCTGTTCCGTTCTTTCTTTTTCCAACTCTATCTATACAATACTAAAACTTTTGTGTCTGTTTGATGCTTCATAATATACGTAACTAAGTCTAGGTCAATAACATTTGCAGCTTTGGAGTTCTTATTTATTTATCTGAGTTCCACTCCATCGTTTCTGCTGGAGGTGAGAAAGTTTGGCTTTTCAGACTCTGCCAACTTTATACATGTTGTCAATGGAAGCTTCCTAATAAGTCTCAATTGGGGATGAACTTCTCTGAGGGAGCTTTGTCCCTTGTCTGACTCCTGCACTGAATCAAAAAATCCTCATTGATTCTCTTGGGATGTCTTTGGACATTCACAAATGTTACAAAACAATTGGAAGGCAAAGAAAATAGTTTGTACTATACAGTATTATACTTACATGGTGTCATACTCATACGCAAAACGAAAACTGTCGGAAGTGTGATAGTCATGGAGATATTCTTTAGAGAGGAAGCAATTATAGTAAGTCATGATTATGATCAATAATATTAGGCAGCAAAAATACTAATGTGTTTTAGACACTTTTCCATATTTAAGTCTATGTGTTTTTGTTTGTGGGTCTTTGTAATGATCATAGGCCAATAATCAATTTAGAACTAAGGAGAAATTTCCTGACAGTTAGAACAATTAATCAGTGGAACAACTTGCCTCCAGAAGTTGTGAATGCTCCAACACTGGAAGTTTTTAAGAAGAGCTTGGATAACCATTTGTCTGAAGGATTTCCTGCCCAAGCAGGGGGTTGGACTAGAAGACCTCCAAGGTCCCTTCCAACTCTGTTGTTCTGTTCTGTTCTGTTCTGTTCTATCAGTCCCTATGGGGCTCTCTAAGCTACCTGCCGCAGAACAATTTAACCTAATAAATAATTCAAAATATATATAAAACTGCTAATTTTGAACAGGAAACTTTTCTTCCCACCCTTCCTTCATTTTCAGAAATGCATCTCAGTCTCCAATCACATATTTTTCTTAAAATTTTCTTAAAGAACATAGATGTTGACTTCAACCCTTGTGTCCTTCCAAAGGACAATTCTGGGATAATGTTGCATACAGGAAATCACAGTTATCAGTGTGTTAGTATTCGTACATTCTAAACTAAGACTTAGTTTATGAAAAAATCCCCTCAGGAACCATTTTGTAAATGCA